TCTGTCAGTAAGAGTAGCTGTTACGGATATATATTTTTATCAGCTTCGATATAACTGTCCGAATTTTCTGTCATATTAAGTGGCAAGTCGAATTGTCGATTCCATTCAATCAGGGAATGCTCATCGTCACATTCCATCGTGGATCGGACTTACTAAGTCAATATCAATGAGATAAAATAAGATCTCATTATAGCTCTATATCTGATCCAGCATTGAATTATGCTAGACCTAATTCGATCCTAGGTCCAATCTTGAATACCCATAGATAATATCACAAGAAAAAAATTTTTTGAATTTAAATAAATCTCAATCCTTTTTAAAGATCTAGTTGGATTAAGTTAGATTAAAGTAAATCTACGTAGATTTAATTTGATCCAAGTAAATCTAAGAAACGGTAGAAACTAGTTTTTTTTTTAATTTAAATAGATCTGCGTATATCGAAATAAATTCTGTTAAAATTAAACCGTTGAATTTTTCTTATTGTCAGTTTAACGATGAATTTATTGTTGAATTAAGGGCGGTATTTTTCTTATTCCACTTCTCATTTTCAAGAAGAACAAAAATTTAAATCTACAAGTGTGAATAATCTATTGAAAACCGTTCTATAATTGAACGAAAATGTATGTCCGGAAGAATTTTATTTTTAATAAAAAGAACAAACGCAATATAACCCGGAACAAAGCCGATGAATCCCAGTTAAATCCGATTAACAATTGAAAAATTAATTAATATTATTATGCTTAACAAAACTCTAGCAAAATTCATATTTATTCATTATTAATTCAGACCTAAAAAATTCATGATGAAATAATTAATGAAATAATTAAGTAAACAGGTATTATAAATTACTCTTTGTCTTACTGACATCCAGCTTAGGGTTTCTAGCATCAGTGTTAGATTTGTATATTTGTTAACACATAATATTGTATCGCTTGATTTTGTAACTTTTGTAAAATAGCGAGTTTGTCGTCTGTATAATTAATCATTAACGTATTACAGTATTCTTAATGTGGAAAAACTATTGTATTGTAAATTAAACATTTAGCATAATTACCTACTGAGTATCTTAAAATCTATTGATTACATTAATTTTTTTGGCAATTTTTTGACTAGTATGATGTGCATTGCTTTTAAAATTTAGATTATTGTCAATCATTACTCCTGAATATTTAGTTTTTTTTTTACATACTTAATTTCTATATCATTTATAAATAATTTACATTTATTTCTTATATTTTTCTAATAATGATCAATATTATATTAAAATAAAATTTACTAATACTTAGATTTAGCAGGAATGTTGACAAAAATTAATAAAAACCAAATTGTGATAAAATGAGAATACTAAACCTTAAAGACTGCTTTTGGATTTTGATCCATCATGATGTTAAAATTATAGCAGACATTTTTAATAATTTTTTGATCTTTTTAATCAACAGAAATTTTAAAGAAAAAAGTATTTATTAAAAATTACACTTAGAATTTTACAAATTTTTTGTCAATTTTTTTTTTTAATTTTTTTATTAAAATATTTTTAATAACAATTTTTCCCTGGAATTATAATTTAATTATTAAAACATTACAATAAACTTACCTTTGTACTGTTAAAATAAATATTAGTATAATTAGTGACAATTTTTAAGTTATTAAATTTTGGGGAAAAAAAAATTTTTTGACTTTTTCAAAAAATTAATCCTTGAAATTTTTTAATAAAAATTTTTTAAAATCTAAAAAAAAAAAAATTAATATTAATTTTTTTAAAAAATGAGCCGACAAGAAAATTTCTGCCCAGCACTAATTAATAAAATATGACCAAGACTAATATAAATGTTAAAATATATAAAGACATCCCGAATTTGAAAATTTGAAAATTTCAATATCAACCTAAAGACCTGATAAATAAAAAAAAAAAATAATTAACAAGATAAATCGTCAAGTCGAATAAATACTGCAAAAGATTAATTAGACTATCTTGTGGATGAAAATTCATCGAGACACGACTTACCATTTAAGTGACTATAAAAATTTAAAAGAAGAATTAAAAAGTTTTAAAAAGTCCCTTTCGGAAGAAGCCAACGATCCAGATATTATAGCAAGAAAAAAAAATTAATAATTCTCACCTGAATGATGAATAGACACTACAATTACAGTCTTTGGACTGTCAAGTAGTTTGAGAAGAAAAACCACCGAACATCTTCTTGACAGACTAACTCTTCAAACAATAGCTGATAAAAAAATAACACACACACCAACCAGTTCAAATTTATCTCAAATTCAAGTCAACAAAAAAAGTTTTTTATTTATTTAAGTTTTTTATTAAAATCAATGACTAATTATGATATATCATGGTTACACAACAGTTGCTTTATTAAATACAATTGACAAGTGACGCTAAGTAAATCCATCTATCAATCTGTTGATCCATAATATTGTTAAACAAACTCCTCGAGGAAAATATATATTTAAGGACATTAATAAGGTACGCTAAATAATTTAACGTCCTTAAATAATCTAAGTCGATGATCAACAAACTAATTTAATACATTGTTAATAATTGCAAGAGCAGTTGAAAAATGAATGGATTTAATTGAACCAGAAACAACGTGACATTATCATCTAAACTCGGTGGACTCCACACAATCTCCATTATAATTCCGATGAATATTTGTTCAGACCACCAGCGATCCTTTATAAAACATTCCAATCCTTCAAAAGTCCAATAGTAAAAATAACAAAGTATTCCATCCTTTGGTTTTACAATTTAATGGAATAATCTAAATCTGTTGATAATTGTTGTTGGAGTTGTTTTTAATTACAAGTAACATCGACCAGGAGCCAAAAGAATATAATTACCAAATAAAACAATTACAATTCTGTTGAATCGATTGCAACCAACCATTGTTGAAACAAATATGACACAGCAAGTTATCAATCAACAGACTTGTTTTTTTTTTTACACTAATTTTTTTTTTTTTTTTTATCATTACAATTGGACACCTTTTGATACACAGTGATTAAATAGTTTTTATAATTATAATTATTTCAATTCAACCGAATACGATACAAACAAAAAGCTCTATCGGATATTTTTTTCAAGCTATCATGGGATACACTTATACATGGTACTTAAATATTCTACAAGTCCAGAATTAAAAAAAAAAAAATAAAAAAAATCTCGACAAAATACCTTGTAATAAACTGAGAGTTTTTAAATGCGTCTAGATAAAAAGTAATTATTATTTGATAGAACTGAATGAGAAAAAAATACGACTATTGGAGCAATGAATACTAGTAAATAAAAGTCGATGGAATCAATGGAATAAAATAGTGAGTAAATAATTGAACCATCAACAGACCCCAAATAATCATCAGTAAATCGGAAGATTGTTGATAATCTGATAAATTATTACCAATTGTCATAATTAATGCGCTGTTAATCTTTAGATTTTTTGCTTGTCAATTAATATTAATACAAATGAGAAATAATTGTGGAATTTTATGTGTTGGTGATTACCTTTATAGAGTAACTCTATTAACTTTGTGTTAATCAAGTTAATATATTAGTAAAGTCGTACCTCAATTGCTCGCCCGTCGATTCGTGAACGATTCATCATTGCTAAAATTTATGTTAAGGAATAATAATAAAAAATAAATAATATTAAGGAGTCATTCTGGTTTGTAACTTTCAAAAAAAATTTTTTTTTACATTTTTTATTGAGATCTTTAATAGTTTCTATGTAATTTTTTTTTTTTTTACAGAATCCTTCAAGAAACTGATAAATAAAATTTATGGATAAAATCTTTGTGATAGTTTTAAATATTTATCGCTCTTAACTGTCGAGTGTGGCTGAATATTCATCGCAAACTGTTGAAATAAAACAGAAAAAAAAAGAGGAAGATTTTTCGAGTTAAAATTATTTAGATTTATGCTTGTACTGATATATAGAGCGTCAATGAGAGGGAGTAGATTTCCGTGGGCGCAAATTTAATGAATTATTCAACGAGCGTCGCAATACAACCCACTGGTAAATACAATTGATCTCAATGTATTAAACAAATATGTTTTTTGAAATAATTATCAGCATATTTTAATTATTTAGATTTTTATATGTAAGGTATTAAATGTTATTTATGTTTAATCTTCTAAGAGGATTTTAATTTATTATTTATAATTATTGCAGATATTTTAGTCAATAATAAATTGAATTGTCGGCTGTATTTTATTTTATAAAATTTACGCTGTTATAAAATGAATTTTATTATTTTAGTCATTTTTTTTTGGGTCAATAGTAAATGCGCATTTTGTTGTTTTGAAAGAACCGAAGAGTACTGATGATTTTTTTGAGGGATATCAAAATCAAGAGCCTAAAGAATTAGACTTGTCATTTTTTGCTGGAGAAGAAAATGAAAATTCTATAAAAAAGGTAATTAAATTTGTAATTTTTTCTAGAATTTGTAATTTTTTTACAAAAGTCTAAAAATTGACAATTTTTGCTCAATTTTATTTAACAAATTTCTTCCAAAAATTGTATTTTTTATTTATTAAAATTTCTAAAGATCAATTTTTTGCATAATTTATTACAATAATGAATAATATTAATAAATTTTCCAGATTTATACTCCGGAAAATCCAACAATGATAAAAGAAGCTCCAATCGTCTACAATTTAATCCGAGTTCCATCAAAAGAAGAAAAATACCATCGCAAATTAATAAAATTAAATAACTCCCAAAAGGGTGAAATAATTCTAGAGTTACGCGTAATTGCAAACAACAATTGAATTTTTTAAATTAAAGTTTCTTTATTTTTATATAATTCAATTATACATACTTATAATTTACCTAGATTGCACATAATAATAATAATAATAATTATTTACAGATCACAAAATAAATATAAATAAAATTGCACGTAATTTAATCATCCAATATTTAGTTAATAATTAATTAATAATTTCTAAGATTTTAAAATACATATTTATAATTAATTATAATAACAATTTATATGTTGGTGGCGGGTGACTGTGGCTGGGGCTCTTCTTTCGGTTCCTTGACATAGTCGACAACAAGTTCTAACCCAATAAGAGCACGTATGTCTTTTTTACTCCCAGTTGTTACGGAAGAAACATCTTCTTTGTCTTCTTTAAAAGTTGACGGTGACGCTCTGTCTTGCTGTGATGAGCTACCGACGGCTAGAAAAAATAAACAAATGTCAAAACTTGGTAAACAATAAATAAACTTTATAATACTAAAGTCAGCTGACATCTGATGATTTCTAGGATTTTTTTTAACAAATAAATTATTGAAATAAAAATTTTTTAAAAAATTCCACTTGTAGATGTCGGAAAAATTTATTGTTTCCTTTTTTTAAATGTTTTTTTTTTAATAGTAATTTATTTGTTGTCAAAATCCAAAAAATTGACAGTTGTCAGCTAACTTCAGCTTGATTAAACTTCAGTTAATTTTGACAGCTCTCAAAAAATTTGTTTTTTTTACTTTTTGTTAGGTTAACAATTATTATTAGTTTTACATTATTTTATTTTTTATTAAATAATTTACTAAATTTTTAATTGTGTAAATAATTTTTTTTAACAAAAAATTGACAATTTTTAAAAATCGCGCCAAAAAAAATTTTTAAAATAAGTTAAAGTTCGTTTTTTTTTTTAAAAGTGACATTTTTCAAAATGGCGTCGGGGAAAAAAAACTTCTTTATTGCGAGGAGTAAGAAAACTGTTGAAATACTTTAAAATTAAAGAAAATTAATTAAAAAATTATCAAAAGAATTTTAAAATTACATTTTTTAATTATTTGAAATAATAAAAAACAAAAAAATTCATAATAATAATAAAATATTCCGTAAAATAGTTTTTGCTTATAAAACACAACTTAAAACTTTGGACATCTGTTAAAAATTGTCTTTTAATCAATTTTAAGTGTTAACAAGTCTAAATTGTCAAAATAATTTTTTTTTTACGAAAATTGCCTTATTTTTTTTTTAAATTGCGTCTAAAAAAATATTCTATTAAAAAAAACAAGTGTGCATTTTTTTTTATAAAAAGTAACATTTTTAAAAATGGCGTCGGGTAGAAAAAATTTCTTTGTTGGAAAAAAGTTAGAAAATCGTCAAAATACTTAAAAAATAAAAGAAAATTATATTGAAAATAGTAAAAAAAAATTCAAATATAAACTTTTTAATAATTTTAAATATTATAAACAAAAAAAATCATAATAACAATAAAAAAACTCCATAAAATAATTATTGTTTATAAAACATAACCTAAAACTTATTTTGACATCTGTCAAAAATTGTTTTTTTCATTGTTAGAACTTTTAAAATAAAAAATTGACATTTAAAATTTTTTTTTCTTAAATTTTAACAAGTCTAAATATTGTAAATAATTTTTTTTTCCAAAAATTGACATTTAAAAAAAAAAATTTTTTTTAAATATTTTAAAAATCAAAAAACTCAATTAAAATCCACAAAAAATTTTTTTGATAATTACAAACATATTCAATAAAAAAAAAAAACTAACCTTCATCATTCTTGCTATCACATTTCTCCCTATTGCTCTTACTCTCAATATCCCGGTAAGTCTTTGTCAAATTTTTAAAAATAAAATGAGTGCCCCTATAATTCTCCTTATTCTTATAGGCTCCAGCCTCGTCGCGAGTCAAATTAAGCGGTCGATTGTACTCTTTAGCAGTTTGCGGTACACTAAACGCGGAGCAGTGTTTGTTCTTAAAAATCGGCTGCCGTTCACTGTTAACCTTCCGGTCCCAGATGTGTCCGGAGACACGTAAGTCTATGAAGAAGTGCAGGGGATCTATTCCAGGGTACTGCGGCGGAATTGGGTACGGCGGGTACCAAAATGGCGAAGGAGTGAACTCTGAATTTGTAGCAGGTAAGGTGTAATTTTGATTTTTAAATTCTAATTTAGAATTTTTTTCTCCTTCTATAAATCCAAGTCCAGATTCTTTGCGATTTTCTTCTAAATTTTCTTCACTATTATTATTATTATTATTATTATTATTATTATTATTATTATTATTATTATTATTATTACTATTATTATTATTATTAAATAATCGAGAAGGATCATCAAAAAAGTGTCTATTCTTCAAAAAATCCCGATTTTCATCAACAGGCTTTAAAGGTTCGAATTGATTTTGATTTTTTTCTTCAATATTTTGTCCCTGATTTTTTTCTTCATACTCAGCAGCAGCAGCAGCAGCTGCTGCTGCAGACCTGTAGCGATTATTTTCAGGAGAAAGTTCCTGGTGAAAATATTTAGAGTCGCTCAAGACACTTTTGTCCTTGGTCAGCTCTAAGGGACGTTCTCTAGCGTCTCTCCAAGAGCGTTTCCGTCTGCGATTGTTCGATAAATTATTAGCAACTGCTGAAGAAGAAGGAGTCGCTGCTGGAGAAGCTTCTGAGGAAGAAGAAGCCTTGGCTTGGACAAAAGACCTTAGCATCTCACTGAAGAAGAAGCTGTGAGGTGTTAACGGGACGTTGTAGAGGTACGGTGGGGTTGCGGCTAGTAGTCTGGATACTAAATCACCCCCCGAGAGGCTGGATGGTGTTTTTAGGCTTGATGGATCCCCCGTGGTCGTTGTCATTGTTGATCTGGGAATAATTAAACAAAGAGTTAGAGAGAGTTAGAGTCTGCTGGTGAATTGTAAGGCTTTGTTCGCTGGGATTAATTGAATAGGATCTTATGTTGGGTATTTGAATAAGGGATTGTAAGACGGAGAGTTAACACTTCCTTGAGTTCTGGTTTCTGGTGAATGTAATTAATTGAAGTTTGAGAAGGATGTTAATGTGGTTAATAAGTGAGAATTGTTATGAAATTTATCAATATTTTTTGGGGATTAGTTCTAGTTCACAAGGCAGTCACGAAGTGACTGCCTTGTGAACTAGAACTAATAAATATAGAAAATTTTGCATTATAAAATAATGATTTTGTTAAATTGCACGGTACTTTCTTAAATATTGCAGTTTTTCAAGGTATAAGCTTATCTTGATGTTACAATTATCAAAAGCTTTCATTTGAGTACCCACATGTATTTATGATATATTTTTCATATATACATATATATAATATATATATATATATATATATAAATATATAAAATATATGAAAAATTGATGTGGGTACTCAAATGAAAGGTCTTGATGAGTGTAATGTCGGAGTGAGCTTATATCTTTAAAAATGTCAATAGTTTTGATATATTTTATATACATACAGATACATAATATATATTTTAAAGATATAAGGTCATCATGATATTACACTCATCGAGAGCTTTCATTTGAGTATCCACATGTATTTTTGATATATTTTTCATATATAAATATATATAATATATATATAAATATATAAAATATATAAAAAATTGATGTGGGTACTCAAATGAACGGTCTCGATGAGAGTAACATTAGAATGAGCTTATTATCTTTAAAATATATATTATATATCTGTATATATGTAAAATATATCAATAATTCATGAGATAGAAGGTCATTTCTTAATTATTGACATTTTTTAAGATATAAGCTCATCTTGATGTTACAATTATCAAGAGCTTTCATTTGAGTACCCACATGGCATTTTTTATATATTTTATATATATATGGTATTTGTGAAATATAAAAATATATGAAAAATTGATGTGGGTACTCAAATGAAAGGTCTTGATGAGTGTAATGTCGGAGTGAGCGTATACCTTTAAAAATGTCAATAGTTTTAATATATTTTTAATTAGAAAATTAGAAAATAAAATTAAATTCCAATATTTTCTTCGTAATATCAAAATATAAACCATTAATATTAAAAATGCAAAAATCGGCCTTAGGTCATAATAAATTTTAGTCGAATTTGCAAATAATATTAACATATTTAAATAAAAAAAAAAAAAGATTTTTTAGACACTAGACACTTATTTTCTAATGAATAATTTGCGATCCTGCGATTGGGTTTTAATACAAATCTAGTACTTTCCGTACACTGATTAACAGTATTTAAACTTATCAATTAATGAGCCATTAATAATCCTGTAAATAATTACAAATAAAATGATAAATGAATTTACATAAGTGAGATTGCATCTAACCCAATAAATTCCCGAGGAATTAAGATCGCAAGTCACTACTCCAATAATCCTTTAGTTTATTTATTATTTATTATTATTATAGTTTTGGTTTAGGATTACGAGGTCAGGGAATTTTTAAACATGAGCATGATTAACATTCTAAGGACGTTCATGCGTGAGAATAGTAGATCAAAATTTATATTTTAAAGTTCCGATAATTATGTAGTAATTTTTTATAAAATTAAAAACCCTTTAGCGATTTTTTTAAAAAGTTATTCGAGTAAAATATTATTTCTTACAAGCCTTTTTATTTTAAATAATTTTGATATTATTACAGTAGATACTGTAATAAATAATCTTTTAAAATATTATTTAATTAATGTAGTTTATATAATTCGAGTAAAAATGAGCCTTGAACGTTTAAATAAAATATTTATTATTTTATTTAATATAATAAAAACTATTTTGGTTGATTTGTTGACCGAAGTGAAAGACACCCGACGAAGCTTGCTACATAAATATACACAAACACATTGACCGTCAACACACATAATATTATTTAACTGTTTAATCTGTCAAAAACGTTTACGTTTACATCCACCTAATTACATCCTTTTAATTAACGATCTTGCCTAATTTTATTAACAATTAAAATAGACCTCTAATTAACGGCTCGTATATATTAACTGATATTCTACAATAAATCCCTAAAAAATATTTCGGATAAATAAAACAAATTATAAATCATTAGATTTTAGCCTTTGAGAAATTAATGGTTTTAATTTTGATAACAAGAAAATATTGGTCTTAGAAAAAAATTTTTAAACAATAGGAAATTTTATTTTATACAAAAAAGTCTATGATTTTTTTATACAATATTTTCTCTGTAATTCCAAAATTAAGATTCAAAAAGATTATTTATTACAGTATCTACTGTAATAATATAAAATGAATGTAATTTCATTAATATTGAAGTATACTTTTTAGAGATGAATAATTGTAAAAAAAATGTTTATTTTTTTCTTCTTTTTTTACCTTAAGTAAGGAGAAAAGAAGTAGATGATGGAAAAGTAGGAAAAGTGTGATAGGAGATAGTAGTATAAAAGGGTGGATGGAGAAAATGTATAAAGAGGATGAGAGTGGATGATATCAAGGAGAGAGTAGAAAGAGTAAAAAGAGACAAGTATATGGGCATTGTTTCGGGAGCATTGTTTTCTCCAAACAAACGGCGTCCACCACGTTGTTCCTTCCGTCAGGGAGATATTATATTCCCAACCCTGTTCGCTCAACAGACACTAGTTTCTACAACAGTGGTGGAGTATCGCTCGAGTACAGATACTTGTACAACAGACCAACAACTGTATAGTTGTACAGTTATACAACCTTCAACCAAAGGGAAATGGACTCCTGTCAGTTTTACTCTGACAACTGATAAATATGTCATGGCTACTCTTTAATCAACTTATTATTATTATCTATTTTTTTCATTAATATTTAATAATAATAATTTGATAAACTGTAGATCAGTTTCTGAATTTTATTTTTAAATATTAAAGTCAAATTTTGAAGAAAGGAAGAGATAAGACAAAATTAATAAGGATTTTTTTGTAGAAAATTTTATTTTCTACAAAATATGATTCTTATAATTTTTTCATATTTTCAATATTTTAGCCAAAATCTGCATTTTTAACTTTTGAAAACTATGGACAATATTTAAAACTTTATTTTTGGAATTTAAATTTAAATTTTGGCCAAAAAATTAGAAATAGAACAAAATTCACAAGGAACTTTTTTTTTATAGGAAATTCAATTCTATATTTTCAATACTTAATCCCTAATTTTCAATTTAAACTTAAAAATTAAAACTTAAATGCTTTGTAATTTTTTTAATAATTTCTAAAAATAATCCAAGTAGAGTTTATGATTCATAAGACAACCCTAAAATAGAATAAACTTTAAAAGTGACAGTGCAAGTTAGTCTCTCTTCCACCAGATAATATTTCGGAAATTCCGTTCTAGGGACTAGCTAACGATATTATCCGTCAGCGACTCTTGTAACAAGAAATCTGCATAATCCCGTCACGTCGCTGCCTCTAATTGGCGGATTGTTTCAATTTGCCTCTCATAAATTTACATTTACATTTTCTCTTCACAAACTTTATATATACATAAACTAAAAAAAAGTCTGACCAAACGTAAAATTTTCTACTTAAAAATTAAAATTTCCACTTTTATTAAATAATGAATTTTGTTAAATTGCACTGTACTTTCTTAACTATTGACATTTTTAAAGATATAAGCTCATCCTGGTGTTACAATCATCAAAAGCTTTCATTTGAGTACCCACATGCATTTTTGATATATTTTTCATATATACATATATATAACACATATTTTAAAGATATAAGCTCATTATGATGTTACACTCATCAAAAGCTTTCATTCAAGTACCCACATGGCATTTTTGATATATTTTTCATATATACATATATATATAATATATATATATACAAAATATATGAAAAATTGATGTGGGTACTCAAATGAAAGGTCTTAATGAGTTTAATATCGGGATGAGCTTATATCTTTAAAAACGTCAATAGTTAAGAAAGTACAGTG